GCCATCACCCTGGCTTATCAGGCACAGGGTGTGCCCTGCCCGTTCAGGTTGCGAGCTCACTCTACTAGAAGTGTTGCATCCTCCTGGGCACTGGCTCGTGGCGCCTCGCTGACAGACATTTGTAGAGCTGCAGGTTGGGTGACCCCCAACACGTTCACTAGGTTCTATAGCATTCTTGTTGAACCAGTATCCTCCTGTGTTTTCACCTCAAACGGGTAGAAGCACCGAGAAGCCTCGGTTTAGTGTCGGCTTGCTAAAACTGCTCCAGAGAGTCCGTACTGTAGACCCTGTCGAGCTCCTCCATCCCTCTCGGCAGCCAGACGTGGTGGAACGTCTGGCGCCGGGCCCTCACTCGATGAATCTGTGAGAACCGGTAGAGGGATGGGTTCCATATGTGTGTATATACAGTATATATATATATATATATTCAATAAACTAAATATACATATTTTTTTATATATAATCATCTTTATTTCTCCATCATTTTTTGATTTGTGTCGTTCAAAATTCATCATGGGATTGTAGTTCTTTTGCTTATTAAAGCTGTTAAGTTCACAGTCAATGTCCATGAATTTAACTTGATTTTTAAAAAGTTCATTGATCAAGAAGTTTATCTGCTGAAATGAAGGACTTGTCAAAAACAGTAAAGTGAGTTCTCTCTCTCTCTCTCTCTCTCTCTAGAATGAATGGAGAATGTGTCTCTGTCTCTCTCTGCAGGCTCTCCACCAGTATAAAAGAGCTGCACAACTTCCGGACTCTGCTGAAGGATCATAGGTAACACACCTCCAGGCCAGCAGGTGGCAGCAGCAACAGTCTTATCCACACAGAAGAAGGCCTGTCTCAGGGACTGTGGGTCCGACGTCCAGCAGAACCCTTCCTCTAGAGCGCATCCTAAACCTTCTGCTTTACCGCTTCACAGTCACTGAACCAGATCACACTCGGCTTCCTACAGAACAATAGTGAAATCTCACTCAGATTTTGTTCCACGTCTGGAAAGTCTTAGATGGTTATATTTATAGTTCAGTGCAGCTTCTCTGATTCAAATATCTCTTGATTGATCTCGTCGGCTGTTTAAGTTTTTTCACAGACGTCTCTGTTTCTATGAATAACTCCACATGAACACTTGAAAGAGCCGAATGCGTCACGTCAGCGCGTCTGATCGGTGTTATATATAGCTGTGAGTGTTTTCAGAAACACAACCCACGAGTGATTCGAACGCTGTCAAGTGTCATTGATACAGTGTGTGTGTGTGTGTGTGTGTGTGTGTGTGTGTGTGTTGAGCGCTGCATGCTTTCATCAGCGTCTGCCTTAATATTTCTAAATGACAGAATAATACTGTAAATATGGCTCATCTGCCTCCTTCGGTTATGATTGAGAGATCTCAGTCTCCAGGCCTCATCGACTCGAGCGGATCACACATTCGACATTTTTACATCTTCAGGACTCAAAAGCAGTGTAATTATCTGCAAAAATGATATGATGTAAATGTATTATTTACATGAATCTGCCCAATGCGGTTTGAAGCTCCTCTTTTTTGACTTTGACCTGATTTTGAACATTTTCAGGCCGTGATTAAACCATGATCTATATTGTGTTTGTGTCAAGAATATTTATTTAAACGGGAATCAATTTGTCTGGTTGTCCCACAGTTTTTTGTCCTGTTTTCAGTTCATGTCCTTGTTAGAAAGAAGCATGTTAGTCTGATTTTAAAGGGGTCATAGGATGCTACATGCACTTTTACAAGTTGTTTGAACTGAAATGTGTGTTGGCAGTGTGTGTACACAACCACCCTATAATGATAAAAATCCACCCAGTGTTTTTTTTTTTAATCTACTAAAATCTTTACCCCTTTCTCAAATCGAGCCGATCTCAGATGCTTGTCTGTGTGATGTCACAGCAGTTGTCATTTACTTCTGACATCTGAGCTGCTGAACTCACAATGGCTTACATTTGTTTCTAAAGGGAATGCTCCCCCGATCTGCCTAAATGCGTCTTATGTTCGCGCGAATCATTCATGATCCAGCCTCATCTACAGAAGAAGTGAGTATAATGTTTTGTAATGAATCTTTGCAAATCGCCTTTCCTAATAATTAATATAAATAAATTATATTATATATATATAATAAATTAAAAATAATGTAAATAGAAAAATATATCAGCATATATATATATATATGTGTGTGTGCGCGTGTGTGTGTGTATATGTATATATATATATGTGTGTGTGTGTGTGTGTGTATATATATATATATATATATCAAACTTTTTTGGTAAATGGTTTTTATTTAGCTTTTTTTAACACTATTTATTTAAATGTACTTTTTATGATTTTTTCTTTTCAGATTTTTGTCGTTCATTCTTGTCCTCGTTAGTAAGAAGCACATTAGCCTTATTTTAACAGCAAATAATTTATTTTTGTGGAAGGTGACAAACATCATCCTCATTACAAATCAACAAATGAGAATCACATGATCAGTGAAATAACAGTGTTCATCAGAAATATAAAGACACTTAGTCTTTTTCTAAGCGTGCTTCAACCTTAGTGGACCACTTATACTGTTTTCAACAGCTAAAGATAAATACATAAAATAACATAAATTCATGCCTTACACATTATAATCCTGATTGTAACTATTGGAATCAATCATGTTGTGAATATAAACAGACGTACAGCACAAGACTGTGTTCAGAATGTGTACTAACATACTATTTCTGCAGTGTACTGTGTGCAGTATGCAATTTTAAGTTTGCATGAAACTCCAGGATTTGCAAGAATGCATTTGTTCTAATCAAAGCCGTCTGTCGACAAACTGAGCACAGAAAAATCTGTCTAAATCAGCTCATATAAAATTAACCTTTCATACAAGGGCTCCTCAAGTTATTAAAAAATATACAAAAAATGTATATATATGTATATATATATATATGTATAGATATAAAATTACATTATTAAAGAAAATGCTTGAAATACTTTTAAAGAGATCTCATATTACTTTTTAAAATGATATTATGAATCCATATTATGTAGTGTAACAAAGTATTATAGTATGGAAAATATGGTTACCATAGTACATTTCTATAGGGGATAATCATCCCTTAACATTCATCATTTCATCATTTCTTACTCTCTTCAAGTTCATCATTATATCAGGTGTTTGATGTGGGGACGCAGTATTATTTTAGTAATATTTATATAAATTTATATATACATTTTTCTATATATAAATAATTAGAATTAGCTTTTTAATTCGTTTTTAAAAATATACTTCTATCTATCTTTAGTTAATTTTTATGGTAACACTTCACAATAAGGTTCATTAGTTAATGTTCATTAATGCATTGACTAACATTAATAATAAGCAATACATTTGTTACAGTATTAATCTTTGTTAACATTCATTAATTAAAAACTACAACTGTTCATTGTTAATTCATGTTAGCTCAGGCTCATTAATTAATATTAGAAGATATAACTTTTGATTTTAATAATGCATTAGTAAATGTTTTAATTTTGGGGTCACACTTTATTTTAAGGTCCAATTCTCGCCATTAACTACGACTTTTGCCTCAATAAACTCCTAATTTGTTGCTTATTAATATTAATAGTTATTATTATTATTATTAATAGTTAGTAAGGTAGTTGTTAAGTTTAGGTATTGGGTCAGATTAGGGATGTAGAATATGGTCATGTGGAATATGTGCTTTATAATACTAATAAACAGCCAATATGTTAATAATATGCATGCTAATAAAGCAACTAGTTAATAGTGAGAACTGGTCCCTAAACTAAAGTGTTACCATTAATATTAACTGAGATTAATAAATGCTTTACAAGTGTTTGTCATTGTTGGTTCATGTAAACTAATGTTAGCTAATGGAACCTTGTTATAAAGTGTTACCATTTTTATTTCAGTTTTAGTCATTTTATTGTATTTATTAATAAATAAAATTTACTTTTTAATTCGGTTTTTTTATATTTCTATCTGTCTTTAGTTAATTTTTATTTCAGTTTTAGTCATTTTATTGTATTTATTAATAAATAAAATTTACTTTTTAATTCGTTTTTTTATATTTCTATCTGTCTTTAGTTAATTTTTATTTCAGTTTTTGTCATTTTATTGTATTTATTAATAACCTGAATTTACTTGTTAATTCGTTTTTTTTATATTTCTATCTGTCTTTAGTTAATTTTTATTTCAGTTTTAGTCATTTTATTGTATTTATTAATAAATTAAATTTACTTTTTAATTCATTTTTTTTATATTTCTATCTGTCTTTAGTTAATTTTTATTTCAGTTTTAGTCATTTTATTGTATTTATTAATAACTTGAATTTACTTTTTATTTGTTGTTTATATTTCTATCTCTTTAGTTCATTTTTATTTCCATTTTTGTAATTTTATTGTATTTATTAATAACTTGAATTTACTTTTTAATTGAATTTTTATATTTCTATCTCTCTTTAGTTAATTGTTATTTCAGTTTTAGTCATTTTATTGCCTGAACCTAATTTATTTAGGTTGCGAGGCAGTATTTCTAATATAAGTTTTTCATCTTATACTGATGTTTTATGTCATTCTCAGTGTTTGTAGTGTTAGTTAGCAGCGGTGGTTAACCTGGTTGAGGTGGTCACCGGATGGGAAGCCCAGGATAAATCATCGTCGCTGTCGTAGCGTCTGGGATTGTCGAAGAAATACGGCCGGTTTGAGAAGACGTGGCTGGGAATGGCAGAGCCGCTCTAGAAAACACCAAACACACTTCTACAGTCAGATCAGCTGCGGAACAGATGCTCTTAAACACTCATGCGATCCGCTCCAGCTCACCCGGTCCTGGGCCGGTTTTCGCACCCGGAAAAAGAACACCACCAGAGACGTGGGCAGCAGCTCCCAGACGAACAGAATCACGCCGAACACGACGTAACCGGCGTCTCCCAGACTGGAGCGCAGATCCGCCTGCAGAAAAACCAGTGTTATTTCTGTTCTACACGAGCGACTCAGGAGATGATGAGATGATGAGATGAGAGATGCGCACCTGATCCGACACGTTATACCAGTCGTAATCGAACGAGTCTATACTCTCTATGTTGGTCAGAGCCAGAACCACTAGATTATAACAGGCGCGCGAGGCGTACAGCAGAATCACCATCAGCCCGATCAGCGTCACCTGACACACCGACGTACCCTGAGAAACAACGGGGTTAAACACACATTCACTAACTTTTTCATTATCATTATTATATATACATTGTTTACATTTGCTTGAAGTCAAATTTAATATTTCAATAATTTAACAACGTGTTCACGGTTTTCTGATGACCATTAACGGCAGCATGGAATCCAAGTAAACAAGTAAAATAGTTCCTATTTTTAGTAAGCGTTTTATTTGAATTTGTTTTACATTTTACTATTTACATTTTATATTTTTATTGTAATTTAATTTAATAATTATTTTAATTATTTTTTAGTAAGTTGTATTTTGAATGTTTTTATTTTAAAGTTATTTTTAATTTTAAAACATTTTTATGATTTAATAAATTTGTGTTTGTGTTTTTTTTATTATTTTAATGTTACATTTGTATGTTGTAATTCATTTTTGTAAGTGTTTTACAATTATAACTGAATTATTACAATTATATTATTATTATTAAAAACAACTATTTCTTTTAGTTTTACATTTTAATTATATATTTTTAGTAAGTGATTTATTTGAATTTTTATTTTAAAATTATTTAGTTTTACATTTTGTTATTTACATTTTATATTTTTATTGTAATTTAATTTAATAATTATTTTAATTATGTATTCATGCAAATTTTTCGTTTTTTAATTATTTAATTGAACTTTTAGTAGGTGTTTCATTTTGTTTTTAAATTATTATAATTTTTATGATTTAATCATTTTTTAGTAAGTTGTATTTTGAATGTTTTTATTTTAAAGTTATTTTTTAATTTTACATTTTTATGATTTAATAAATTTGTGTTTGTGTTTTTTAATTATTTTAATGTTACATTTGTATGTTGTAATTCATTCTTGTAAGTGTTTTATTATTTCTATTACAATTATAACTGAATTATTACAATTATATTATTATTATTAAAAACAACTATTTCTTTTAGTTTTACATTTTGTTATTTACATTTTATATTTTTATTGTAATTTAATTTAATAATTATTTTAATTATGTATTCATGCAAATTTTTCGTTTTTTAATTATTTAATTGAACTTTTAGTAGGTGTTTCTAAAAACAATTATTTCTTTTATTTTTACATTTTAATTATTTAATTAGTTTTAATTTATTATAATTCATTTAAATGTTTTGTTTGTTTTTAATTATTTTAATTTGACATTTTTATGATTGTTTTTATTTTTAGTGTTTTTATTACAATTTTTATAATAAAATATTACTATTATATTATTATTATTAAATACAACTATTTGTTATAATTGTAAATTTTTATGATTTAATACATTTTTTATTAAGTGTTGTGTTTGTTTTTAATTTATTTAACATTTTTAGTTTTTTAGTTTAGTTTTTAGTGTTTTATTTTTATTGTTTTTATTCAAACTATTGTAATAACATGATTATTATTAATAATAATAATTACATTATTTGTTTTACTTTCACATTTGTATGATTTTTCTTAGTGTTTTATATTAGTCTTTAAAATTATTATAATAAAATAATTACTATTATATTATTATTACTATTAAGTAATTATTAAATTTTTATGATTTAATAAAATAAATTGTTTAACTGTTGCTATTATATTATTATTATTAAATACCATTGTTTGTTTTAATTTTAGATTTTTATGATATATTTTAATATTTTGATTAGCTCCTCATCGACCCAGTTCGGGGAACTCTAAT